TGGTTATTCTTTCATCCCCATACAGAAATACGCTGACTTGCTACTCTGTTGCCTATTCGACCGAGCCCATGTCTAAAAGGACTTTAGCAAATAGTTTTGTACCTTTGTACATATATGTATGCTTTTACATTTACTATTCCAAATATTCAAATTCGGATATCCAACGAGAAGGGACGTATGAGACGTTTCTTGCGCATCACAACTTTTGTACCCGGTACTCAGTAGTGCACCTTAAACTTAGTGGTTTCTTTCAAATTTGAAATTTTAAATTTTTTCTACAAATGTCATCTACGTTTACATATACAGAAGTTCTCACGAAAACACGCTCTTTTATCTCGCCCTCCTCCCCAAGTTGGAATGAGAGAATGCACTATGGCCTTTTTTTGGCCTTAACCAAACCAAAAGAGCTAGCTAGAGCTCTACAAAATGGCATGAATGTTCGTTAGACTAAAGTAAAATTTCGGAAAAAAATGTAGTCTTTTGGAAAACGCCCACCTCCGGCCCCATACGAACTGGAACCCATTTACGTCGTAATTTATTATAAAACAATTTATTCAAAAGATTAATTATGATTATACCCCTTTTAAAACATTTTAGAACTTTAAAAAAATATATTTGATTGACTGATTAAATGATTGTTAGGTTAAAAGTAATTTGATTGGAATCGCTCCAACGATTGCATTTCGCTTAGTACTTGTTTAAATAGGCAATAAATAGTTTCATATTTAGTTAGTCAGGTTTTTTCAATACTCTTTAAAATACAACATTTTATTGCGTCTGCTTCACGATTGTTGTTGGTCCAGACCTCCAGCAGCGCTGCATGAGTGCACTCACAAGCATCTGCAAAATTTAAAATGTATAGAAAAGGGGCAAAAACGGGCAAAAAGCATGAACACAACGTGATTCTATAATATTTGGTTAATAACAAGTAACTTGAACTTCTGTGCAGCGGTGTGCTGTGCAAAAGTAATATTCCACAGACAACACGTGCAATTGTTAGTACCAAGCTAAAAAGACAAACGAACAAAACATTGGACAATTAAATAACTACACACAACTATACAAAAAAATGTATTAACTATTTAAATTTAAATACCTCGACCTGTTATTTCCATATTTTTACTTGTATATAAACTTTCAAATCGAGCTACAATTACAGCTGCAAGTTGCTCACTTTTTCCCGCACTTTTTCACAAGTCAAAGCAACTTTTACCCAAAAAAAAATTACATAAATGCCAAAAATACGGGCTTTTTACCCATAGTGGAATGTGCAAAAAATAAGCAAAGCTGCTGGAAGGGGTAGGGGGAAGCCTCTACAAATGACTTTCTTCATTATGGCTATAATAATGATCCAATCTAATTCAAATTCTGTGATCTGATAGATATGGTTACTCTCATTTCAATGAGATTTGAAAAACTCGATCAGATCGGAATGTTATTATAAGTTATCATCCAGCGACGCAGCTTTTAGCACATTCTCTGTCTTGCTCAAACACACTACCTCGATCAGCGGCCCTCTGACAGAGAATAATAAAATAAAAGGGCGCGTTGGTCTGGGAAGAAATGTAGCTGACAGATGAAGAAAACAAGTGTAAACCCACAAAATGTTCAAATGTATAATGGGTTTTAGTTTTCCTTTTTTGTACAATTTAAAATATTAATAAGGTGGTAACAGTGATATAACATTTAACCGAAATTAGCTTGCGCAGACGAAGAAAACTAAAAATGCAGATCCCCAAATAAGGATCGTTGTTATAGCCAAAATCACGAAAATCACGTCGAGTGGCAAGCCCACACCCCCTTTCAGCAGCTTTGTTTATTTTTGGCTCATTCTCTCTGGCTTACACACTCTACCATAGGCACTGTTCGGCTCTGGTAGAAGGGTGTGAGCTAAAAGGGCGTGTTGGTGTGAGAAGTGATATATGTATGTATGTAGTTGCAGATGGCAGATGGATAAAAAAAATGTTAAATTTGAAAATAATCGTAAGGTTACATATATATGTATGTATGTACATTCATTTCTATGTGTATACTGACTCCTCCTCGTTTTATTCCAAAAATCGCACTCGAGCAGTTGCTCTTAAGTGATCTTTATTTTAATGTAATCCCCGTGTAACGAAGCTTTCCCCTCTGAAGCCGGGGTACAGCCTCTCAGTCTGTTCATGGCCTTATCTTCAATATAGCTAATTCATACTATGAGATCAAGAGAGTCAGCGGAGGGGTGTGGCACTACGAGCGGGTAGGAGCAGGACCCACCCAGTCGGAATTAGTTGCTTCGAAACAGTACTTCTGTATCGCTCCCTTTTCCACTTAGCACGAGTACACTATGAGGGACGTTTTCGCGTTGTTTTTTTTTCTTCTGGAAAATTCAGCGCACTTACCACACTACATCGTTGTTTCTTTCATATTCTTTAGATGCAGTCAAACTGCATTAACACTCTGCTAATACTTACGTAATTAAATATTGATTTAAAATTTAAATTTTTAGTTATTTACTGCTTTTCAGATGATCAAATCTGTATGCACGTTCTCATTAGCGAGAAGAAAAGAGAACGAGAAACAGCATTTTTGAAAATTGCCTTTCTTCTTTTTTGTTCTTCTATGCGTTCGCCTGAAACTTTTTCGATGCGTGAATTTCTGCTTTCCAAAAGCATGAAAGAAGAGGTATGTTGTCCTTCGGAAAAAAACCGAAAGATCGGGAAGCTGTTCTGGTTACTTGGTGGAAAAGATGCATGAAAGAACGCTTATTTTGGGGTTTATTTATAGGTTCTACATATTCTAAAAGGGTGGGATAAAAGATCAATTCTTTTTCGCAACCACTTATAGGCGGTCCGACTGGGCAGTTCGTGGTTTGTACATTAAATTACATTGAATCATAGAATCGATCAAGACTAACTTTTTCTGGAAGATATGGGGCTTAGAAATAGTTTGATGATAATTATCCCCGGTACTCGAATAGAAAAAAATGTATATTGTATTTGTGCACAAAGTGGATGTAACGCACCGAAGGGAACGTTTCCGACCCCATAAAGTATATATATTATTGATCAGCATCAATAGCCGAATCGATAGAGACATGTCTGTCTGTCCGTCTTGTTTGTCGGCTAGTTTTCAGAGACTATAAGAGCTGGAGCCACCAAATTTTGCCTCCAGACTGCTGTATGCTGAAACCAGAGTATTTTAAAAATTAGTCCCGCCCCCTTCCGATCCCGCAAAAGGGCGAAAACCTCCCAAAGCTACAATTTTGTAGATAAAAGAGAAATAAAAGAGAAAGCTTTTCCGTAGGGAATGACCATACATATCAAATCACCAAATTGGGATGCGATTGGATCATTATTATAGCCAGTATGAAGAAATTAATTTGCAGTGGCTAAACCCACCCCGTCCAGACGCTTTTCTTGTTGTTTCACATTCTTTCATTCTCACTCTGCTTCTGCAGTGTGCGGCCTCTGCCTCTGCTGCGTCTCTGCTTCTGCCGTTGTCGTGAGAAATTAATTAGATGTAGATGACAGGTGTAGAAAAAATGTAAAATTTCAAATTTCAAATTCTAAAAATAAACAATATGGACAGGTACACTGACTGAGTCCGGGTATAAAAGTTGTGACGCCTAAGATGCGTCTCACACGTCCCTTCTCGTTTTTATATTTTTCTATGGCAGAATTTATTCTCAAGAATACTGGGGTAGCGCTTCTTTTTCACATAACTTAAGTACCCTAAATCTGGTTGTTATGAACTAAGTCATTATATAAAGCTGAAGAACGCATCTATAAAGTTTACCCAAACACTTTGTGGTTTTAGTGTATCGACTGTGAAATATTAAGCTTTTAAAGGCAAAAATTATGGTTTGATAAATTTAAGAAATTAATTTAAGAAAAAGTCGAAAAAAAATTGAATTTTTTGTTCCTTTTTGTATAGGTGCATTAATTTGGCGTCTGAAAATGTATTGCTCATCAACATCTTTGTAGAGTTGGCAGACCTTAGGATTTTTTTGTATTTACGTATTTCAGTATTTTTCGAGTACTGAAGGCAGAAATGCTTTTTCAGTTCTGCCAGAAACCTCCCAAAACATATTTTTTATTGTTTATTTGTTATTTTTATAGGTTGGCCAATTTTAGCTCAGCCGTCTCTACGCCGAATTAAGGCACCTGTACTCACAAAGTAAAGGACATGGGATGTACCTTTTTCCACTCTTCCTGAGTTTTTAAATTCATGATTTCGTAAAAAATACCTCACAAAAATAATAATTTGTTTACATATATATTTCGCAGACGGTAAACTAAAGCAAATGAGTGTTTGGGTCATATTTGTAGCTGCCAAATCAACCCGCTACCTCTAAAAAAAAAACATTAACACAAAAGATTACGAGTTTTAAAAATTCTTACAAAACATTTCCGCTATAGAAAAAAAGTCCAAAGTTCATTAAACAATTTAAATACCAGTCGGTTTGGTTGCTTGAGGAAAAAAATATCGATTTTGACAAGTAGTTTTATTAGCGCAAGATCTTCACAGGCCTTGGGTAGGAGTAAGATAATGAGCATCGCCACGGTCTCGCTCTTTTTCGAGTGGCCAGCTTCTGTTGGTGCTTGTTCTGTTGTTCTTTGCTGCTCGGTCTGTGCTTGCTAGAGCCCTCGGCCTGATCTCGTGATTTCCTCGAATATTAGTCTAACATCTATCTTTACTGCATGTTATCGATCGGTTGGATTAGATGCGTCGAGAGGACGCTCCCATCAGTCGGTTGGTCGTGAGGAGGCGTGTGTTTTTGCATATTTGTAAATTATTGTTGGTCCTCTTAGAAATAACTATAAATACCAAAGCACGTTCCAACTCGTCAAACTGATTACTATTTAAAATTTAATACAAAAAATGTATAACTTAGCTCCAATATTAACATTTACATTGCACAATCATTCCCGCTAGTGCAGATATTTTTTTTAAATACAACGTACATATATTCTAAATTCGAGCAATCCAATTCTAAAAATTATTTAAATCATACACAGGATGAGTAAGTATTTGATATTTTATACCGTATTAAGATCTGTTTTTTCACACTTAGTATAAATATGTTTTTACACTTGAGAATGACTTGAGAATGAAATGATACTTGAGACAACTAGTGACGTCATATTGCATAATAAGTATAAGATTTAAAAAGCCTTCGGCTCCCGAAGTTCTTAGTTTTGCTGTGTTCGGTGTTCGGGCTTTTAATAAGTGATGAGACTGACGCCATCTGTAATCGAACTGATCGAGACCCACTAACCCACTAACCCTTAGTGAATGACGCAATCCATTCACAACTGGACTGGGTGGGTGCAGCTACTGCAAATTAATTTCTTCATTCATCCCTATTCGGCGATCTGATAGATATAGTCCTTCCCTACGCAATGGCGATATTTGTTTTTTTTATATTCATAATTGTGGCTGTGGATTCGCCCTTTGTGGTGGCAGAAGGGGGCGGGGCTCATTTTTGAAATACAGTTGTAACAGTGTGTGCAAACTGCCATCTGGATGCAAAATTTTGTGGCTCCAGCTTTTATGGTCTCTGAGTACTAGGCGCTCATCCGGACGGACAGACGGACAGACAGACAGACATGGCTCAATCGACTCGACTATTGGGGCTGAGCAAGAATATATATAATTTGTTTGTTACATATGTACAACAACAACAGAATTTATTGTAATGGAAGAAGCTGGTGGAGCAGTACAGGCAAAACAATTTGCGTATTAGCTAGCTCCAGCTATAGTTTCTGAGATCCAGGCGCTCAACAAGACGGACGGACGGACGGACGAACAGAAAGGCAAGGCTCTATCGACTCTTTGATGCTGAACAACAATATATATACTTTATGGGGTCGGAAACTTTTCCTTCTGTGCGTTACCTACATCCGTTCCCCACAAATAGAATATACCCTATTTACTCTGGAGCTCTGGAAATCTGGAGCTGCCTGTTCGACATACACGGATGCTTTGCTGATGACCTTCGCCCTCGCCTCTTAACTGTATCCTTTTTGTCTTCCTCTTGCGTAAATAGTTCTCACATAACCGTCGTCTGTACTTGTACTGAGAGGCAACCCAAGGGACATGAAATCATGAAATCGATGTCATCTACGATTACAGCAACGATGAAAATCATGTTTAAAATATGTTTGTAGGTGTACCCATGCCTATTGTGCCTCTTCGCCTTTAGCCGCTAGCAATCGTAACCCATGACCCTCTGTACCGACTCGTTCTAGTTTAACAGGTCTGCTTTGGCGCTGCGTGTGTCCATATCTCTGATTCCGTCTATAATTTTATTTATTTTGAATCTATCCAGGAAATCGGCTGGCGCATCATTGTAAGCCAGACGTGAAAGTCGTTCTATGTTCGTCGCGATCTCTTGAATATACTCTCTATATCGTTGTATCCTGCGCTTCAGTTCCAGACTATAAACTGCGTCGATCTGCGTCGGGAATCGATTGTAGCACCTCGGCTGCGAGACCCCTTAATGGCTTCAGTCCAAATATGCCTCGAAAACGGCAAATGTTGTAGAGTATGTTGCCACCATAGCTAGGAGTAGCGACCTTCGGCTTAATTTCTAAAATGATATTAAAAAGCGCACGATTTTCCAATTCCCGTTTAAGATTTTCTAGTCTGTATTCGTGATGCCGCAGTACATGTTACATGTTAGTACAGCCTTATACATGTTACCGTGTGTTTTCCCTTCTTATTTGGCCAACCAAACGCTGAGCTGTCTTAGAGTTTTTTTTGGTTTACTTGCTAGTGGTCTGTCTCCGTGATAGGGCTTCACCTTGTTCTTTGATCTTCAGAATTATTTGCTGTTGTTGTTCGGCTTGATCCTTACACAGCTCACCTTGTTCTTGCAACTTTAGCATCCTCTCTTGCATTATCTCCATCTGCTGCTCATTAGCTGCCGCCTGATGGTTATCCTGCACTGTCGATCTGGTTCATTATCTTCAATGTTGAACTCTGTTCTGTACATCGCATCTTTGAAACGCTGTTGCAGTTCGACATTTCAACCGCTCGTCCAACTTAAAATTAACGAACTATATAAATCCCTTTATAAGTAGCAAAAATACAATTTTTCAGGCCGATTTCCGAACGAAAACAACTGAGATATATTATGAACCAACCCAATTTTTTTCTGAAAGATTTCGGGAATATTTGTGATGATATATGTACGTACCTCTTGAAGAATTTTCGAGAGATGGTATTTATACCCGGTACTCGAAGAGTAAATAGGGTATATTGTATTTGTGCGAATAACGGTTTTATGAAACGCACAGAAGGAAACTTTTCCGACCCCATAAAGTATATATATTCTTGATCAGCATCAATAGCCGAGTCGATTGAGCCATGTCTGTCTGTCCGTATGTCCGTCCGTCAGTCTTGTTTGTCGGCTAGTTCTCAGAGACTATAAGAGCTAGAGCCAACAAATGTTGCATCCAGACTGCTGTATGCTCACACTGTTAAAAGTGTATTTAAAAAATGAGCCCCACCTCCTTCCGCCCACGCAAAAGGGCGAAAACCTTCCAAATCTACAATTTTGAAGATAAAAGAAAACTAAAAGCGCCATTCCGTATGGAATGACCATATCTATCAGATCACCAAACTGGATCCGATTGGATCATTATTAAAGCCACAATTAAGAAATTAATTTCCAGTGGCTAAACCCAACCTGTCCCTCAGCTTTTGTTGTTTTTTTCACATTCTCTCATTCACACTCTGCTTCTGCAGTTGCCGCAGGACGCTGCCTCTGCCTCTGACGTGGATCTGAAGTGTGCGGCACTAGGGGAGGAGGGCGAGCGAAACTAGCGTGTTGGCGTGAGAAGCTATGTAGATGTAAATGACAGGTGTAGAACAAATTTAAAATGTCAAATGTAAAATTCGAAAAAAAACGAGAAGGGACGCTGTGAGACGCTTCTTACGCGTCACAACTTTTATACCCGGAACTCAGGACTACATCTGCACCTTAGCGGTTATTTGTCAAATTTTACATTTTTTCTTGATCTGTCATCTACATCTACAACACTTCTCACACCAACACGCTCCTTTAGCTCGCCGCCCTTCCCTAGACCCACACACTGCAGACTCGTGGCAGAGGCAGCGCCCGCACACAATAAAAAAACAAATATATCGACGCCCTTCCCCACCCAATTTTCAGCCTTCTCAGTAGCGGTCCCCCTCCCGTCTCCGTCCCCGGCTCACTTCCGGAGCAGAGTGTGAATGAGAGAATGTAAAAAGAGCAACAAAAGCTGCGGGAGAGGGTGGGTTTAGCCACTGGAAATTAATTTCTCCATTGTGGCTATACTAATGATCCGATCGGATCCCAATTTGGTGATCTGATAGATATGGCCATTTCCTACGGAATTTGTTTTCTTTTATCTTCAAAATTGTAGATTTGGAAGGTTTTCAACCTTTTGCGGGGGCGGAAGGGGGTGTGGCTCATTTTTGAAATACACTTGTAACAGTGTGAGCATACAGCAGTCTGGAGCCAACAATGGTGGATCTAGCTCTTATAGTCTCTGAGAACTAGCCGACAAACAAGACGTACGGACGGACAGACGGACAGACAGACATGTCTTTTTAGTTTTCTTTTATCTTCAAAATTGTAGATTTGGGAGGTTTTCGCCTTTTTGCGGTGGCGGAAGGGGGCGTGGCTCATTTCTGAAATACACTGGTTTCAGTGTGAGCATACAGCTGTCTGGAACCAAAATTTGGTGGCTCTAGCTGTTATAGTCTCTGAGAACTAGCCGACAAACAAGACGGACAGACGGGCGGACAGACATGGCTCTATCGACTCGGCTATTGATGCTGATCAAGAATATATATACTTTATGGGGTCGGAAATGCTTCCTTCTGTGCGTTACATACAACCGTTATTCCCCACAAATACAATATACCCTATTTACTCTTCGAGTACCGGGTATAAAAAACAATATGGTACAGGTACTCGACTGAGTACCGGGTATCACACGTCAAAACGAGAAGGTTTTTGTTTATGTTTTTTTTTAGAGTTAGCATAGTAAGAATAGTAAGAAAAAAATATATATATATATATGTATATATAATTTTGTTTTAAATTCCAGGCCTGGACTTCTTGGAAGATTTTGCAAGTGACTATGAAAACGCATTACTTCAAACTGGATTTGGATATTTTCAATTGCTTTTGCTGACAATATGTGGTTTAATTTACATGAACACGGCAATTGGTGTGACAATTATATCTTTCGTTTTGCCATCTGCTACCTGCGATTATGCCATGACATCCACAGACAAAGGCTGGCTATCTGCTTCACCTATGCTAGGAATGTTAATTGGATCATATTTTTGGGGATGCCTCGCGGATACAAAAGGTCGACGTGTGGTTTTAATCACAACTTTATTGGCAGATGGTATAATCGGAGTATTATCTTCAATTGCACCAATGTATTTCATTTTTATGTTATTACGATTAATAAATGGATTCAAGTAAGAAATTTTTAAATGCTTAATATATTATTTCTTAATATTTTACTTTAGTATCATTCTACCCGGTACTCGAAGAGTTTAGGACGAAGTATGTAACACACAGAAGAAACAATATTCGATCAATCAATAGCCTAGCCTGTTTGTCTATCCAGATGATCTCTGTGTCCTTAGATACCATAAGAGCCAGTCTTGCATTTAGACTTCTGTAATATCACACTGTTACACTTTCCTGCCCCAAATATGACGAAAGTGGCATCCGCAATTTTTAAGATATGACCTCGAGTTAGGATCAGATGAAGTCATTATTATAGGGGGAATGAAGAAATACATTTGCAGGGGTTATCCCTCACCACCTATCCATGCTCTCTCTCTCGCACACCTGCCTCGTGTGATAAGCGGTTCTGACAAGGGGGAACGAGTTGGTGTGAGAAGTAATATTAATATAGATGACAGATATAGAAAAAATTCAAAATGTTAAATTCGAAAAACATCAGATACGTACAAATGTATGTATGTATGTAAATATGTATGTACATACATACATATATACAGACTGAGTACCGGGTATTTTATTAAATTGTAAAAGAAGTAAGAATAATATTTTTGTAAAACTATTGCCATTTTATAGAGAAATCATGGATATTTATTATAATTCCTATTAATACATTGCAGCAACCTTCGCTGAAGTCTGAGTTTCAATTGGTTGGTTCCTTGCTAATCGCGTGGTTTTTTTGCAAAATATCTAAAATTATTGATACCCTAAAGACTTTTTTTGACCGCTCTATGCTTTCGATGCTTACAAATCATGCTTATGCTGATTGGGGCAGACACTTTCTTCAATCTCTTGTGCACAGCTTAGATCAAAATGGGTAAAGGGGCACCATTATTATAAGAAAAGCCGTTAGAATGGGTAACATCCGGTCTGAAAGCATGTGGCAGACTGAGACTGTCTGCGACCGGAAGGTTTTAAATAACGTAGCCCTTCAGCAGTCTAGAGGCAAAATTTGGTGGCTCTAGTTTTTATAGTCTCTGAGAACTAGCCGACAAACAAGACGGACGGACGGACAGACAGACAGACTCGGCTATTGATGCCGATCAAGAATATATAGACTTCATGGGGTCGGAAACGTTTTCTCCTGTGCGTTACATACATCAACTTTTGTGCACAAATACAATATACCCTATTTTACTCTTAGAGTACCGGGTATAAAGATGATTTTTGAAAGGTTTTTTTACGACATTTTGACTTAAAAAACTCAGGAAAAGTTTAAAAAAACGAGAAGGGACGTGTGAGACGCTTCTTACGCGTCACAACTTTTATACCCGGCACTCAGGACTACATCTAGATGTAGAAGACATCGCCAACCACTACATATCGTTCACATTACAGAACACAAAGTAAAAAGCCTACTAAATAGAATGCATCAAAAATATTGGATCAGTTAACCGTATTTTACAATTTATGAGATATTTAAAACAGCAATAAAATTGGTACTTTTTCCCTGCACATTCTGTGAAATAATGACCGCTAGGTTTCACAGCAGATTTTTCGAAAGTGCAAAAATCTATGAAAATTTCTTATACGCAACTTTGACGGTCACTCTTTTTCTAATACAGAGCGTTAAAACCCTAGTCTTGGTTTTAACTTTTAAAAATTAGCTTTTGGCCACTGTTTCCGCAACTCCTCGCAACCAGTTCAGAATCAAAATCTCGAAATAAAAAGCCAAGTGCTGCTGTTCGGCCGAGTCAAATCAATTTAATCTCTTCTTCTTTTCAATTTCGATATTCACCTATTAAATGCATGTTCTTCCTCTTTCTCTATCGTATTCACAGATCACATGTATGTTCTTTAGCAACAAGCTTCTGTCAGTAGCTTAATGCTACAAACAGTAGATGTAGATGTTGTGAAGAGTGTGGTTGTGCGAGGAAATCGAGCGGCGGGAAGGGATCTGGGTGTGTGACGTCTGAGCACCGTCTCCGTCGCGGGCGTGTGTTATTTTTTTGTTTATATTCGACGCCCTTCCCCACCCAATTTTCAGCCTTCTCAGTAGCGGTCCCCCTCCCGTCTCCGTCCCCGGCTCACTTCCGGAGCAGAGTGTGAATGAGAGAATGTAAAAAGAGCAACAAAAGCTGCGGGAGAGGGTGGGTTTAGCCACTGGAAATTAATTTCTCCATTGTGGCTATACTAATGATCCGATCGGATCCCAATTCGGTGATCTGATAGATATGGCCATTTCCTACGGAAATGGTNCTCGTGGCAGAGGCAGCGCCCGCACACAATAAAAAAACAAATATAAGCTGCGGGAAGGGGTGGGTTAAAAGTCGGAAGAGTCATCGCCAGGGGGAGGGCAGAGGCAGGGGCCGAGTGAAGCGGAGCAGAGTGTGAATGAGAGAATGTAAAAAGAGCAACAAAAGCTGCGGGAGAGGGTGGGTTTAGCCACTGGAAATTAATTTCTCCATTGTGGCTATACTAATGATCCGATCGGATCCCAATTCGGTGATCTGATAGATATGGCCATTTCCTACGGAAATGGTTAGGTTACCCTCTCCCCGTCCAGCAGTTTAAAACAATTTTTTTTTACTCATTTCACACTGACATTGACATTGCCTTTGCCCGTTAAAAGTGAACTGGGTCAGAACTAGGTAGCACTCGTAGGTACTCTGAATTCATAAAATCTATTGACTGTAAAACAAACGATGACGAAACCACTTTTCATCCTACTGAAATGTGGTCTCAGCTTTGAGAATCCATTTTTTCTCATGGGCAATATCGTATATCAGAAGGTTCCTAAATGAAGATCCTATTTCGATTCAATTAAAATAAACTCTTTTGAAAACTTGTATTATCACTCTGACATTTTTCTGAAATCGTTAAGATTAAATCTTATTTAAATCTCTGCAACTTTCAAATCTATTTATTCAAATTTAGAAATGCACTTGTTTCATTGTGATATTACAGAGTCTGGATACAAAAATCGGTTGCTCTAGATCTTGTAATCTCTGAGACCCATTCTTTATAACCTAATACTGCTTAAATTGTTCGACTGCATTAATATTTTAGCAGGCTTTTTGACTCAATTTCTTACAACATGATATGAAAATGTAAATTTAAAAAATGTATCTAAATATTTTACATTTTGTTCTTAGTGTTGCAGGAACGATGTGTATAATATTCCCATATTTGGGGGAGTTTCAAACTACGCAGCGTAGAGAAAAAATATTATGTTGGATGGAACTTTACTGGACTTTTGGAATAATATTGCTGCCGGGTGAGTTTCTTTCTATATGTTACAAGCATAACACTACTCGACACGATTTTGACGCTTCGATGCACACTGACTTTTTCTGAAAATTTAGGGGGCTTAGGTTTGATGGTATTTTTATACCCGGTACTCGAAGAGTAAATAGGGTATATTGTGCGGAATAAGGGATGTATTTAACGTAGAGAAGGAAACGTTTCCGACCCCACAGAGTACACATATATATTCTTGATCAGCATTAATAGCCGAGTCGATAGAGCCATGTCTGTCTGTCCGTCCGTCTTGTTGAGTGCCTGGATCTCAGAGACTATAAAAGCTATAACCAAATTTTTGCATTCAGATGGCTGTATGCACTGTTAAAAGTGTATTTCAAAATTTATCTCCAACGCCATTATGTAATGAAGGACCATATCTATCATATCACCGAATCGGGAAGAGATTGGATCATTATTATAACCAGAATGAATAAATTAATTTGCAGTGGCTAAACGCACCGCACCCAGTAGCTTTTTTTTATTTTTTGCACATTCTCACATACACACTCTGCTTTGTGAGGTGTGCGTGTTGGCTTAAGAATTTATGTAGATGTAGACAAAATGTAAAATGTAAAATTTGAAAAAAACCACTAAGGTGCAGATTTTCTGCTAAGTACCCGGTATAAATGTTGTGACGCGTTCTTACATCTGGTTTGATTGATTGGGTTGATTAGGGTTGATTGACATATTTTCATAAGAAATACCTCACAACGACCAAAATTGTTGCATTTCAAAGCTTAATGTTTTGTAGTAAGCTAAGACCACAAAGTGTTTGGATATACATTAGAAAGGCATTTATCAGTTTTATAGAATGCACTATGGGTAAAAAACCTTTTTTTTTTGCAATAATCCAAAAAATAGAGCTGAAGCTCTGCAAATTGGCATGACTAAAGTAGAATTTTTCAAAAAAAGTTTGTCATTTGGACCCCGCCTATCTCCCGCCTATTCAAAAGATTAATTATGATTAAAGAACATTTAAACATTTCATGACTGATTGAATGATTGTTTGGTTACAAGTAATTTGATTGGAATCGCTGCAACGTTCGCTTAGTACTTGTTTAACTAAGCAATTAACTGCAAAATTTTCGTTTCAATTGTAAATGTTTCATCCTTAGTTAATCTGGTTTTGTCAATACTATTTAAGGTACAACATTTTATTGCGTCTGATTCACGATTGTGGTTGGTCCAGACCTCCAGCAGCGTGGCATGAGTGAACTCATAAGCATCTGCATAATTCGATGTTTTCAGAAAAGGGGCAAAAACGGGCAAAAAGCATTAACCCCACATGATTCTATAATAATTGGTTAATAACATGTAACTTGGACATTTGTGCAGTGGTGTGCAGTGCAAAAGTAATATTCCTCAGAACACACATGCTATTGTTAGTACCAAGCTAAAAATATACACTAATAAGACATTGGACAATTACAAAAGTACAAACAACCATAAAAAAACTTGTATTAGCAATGAATTAAACTATAGAGTTAAATTGAGTTACAATTAAAGCTATAAGTTTCCATTGTATGTATGGTACTCCGTAAAAATCTTGATACTCACGAATCAGAAAATTTAAGTCAATTATTAAACGCAAAGAAAATTACATTAATGGCTTTTTACATTTGTGCTTTTTACCAATGGTGGAATGGCTAAGTTTCTACAACCAGAAATAAGAAATTTAATTCATGTGAAAAAAAGCGCTACCAGAACTAAAAAATTCTTTAAAAAAAGTTTTGCAATGGTAAAAAAATATAATTCTTAAAAAAAATGTAAAGCCCTCAGTATCAGAAAAAGTCGGTTTGGTTCGATGCGGAGATACAAGTTAGATTTTGTCGAGTTGTGTAATCAAAACAATTTTTTGGGGCAGCAGATAGTAATAATAATAATAATAATAACAATAATAATAATACCGTAATGCTATAACTTCTTGCTCCTTTCCAACATATGTACGTAACATTCTTACCCAAAAGCACCATTAGGTGTTGGGGTTCGTAAACGTTTCCATCTGTGAGTTACATAAATCCACTTCGAGTGCAAACTTATTATACCTTTTAACTCTTCGAGTACCGGTTATAGAAATGTACGTATACATTGTCTATACAACACATGTAGATAATATAATAAAATAGATGCAGCATAGCCCAGAAAGCTTTAAATACATTTTCGTTCGTAATTTCTACATACATATGTATGTATGTATGTATGTACAGTCGTTCTGTCTACATTACTTCCCACTACAACTAACTCCTTCCACTCCCGCAGACGGCGATCAATGCACAAGGAACAGTATGTGATCCATAGAGAGGGGTCGTTTTAGAAATTAGATAGGTTGGATCATTCTCTACGATACTGCGTTTTCTCGTATCGTCCAACTTGTGGATAAAAAAATATTTTCGTAAATGTTGATTTAAGTTTGATTTAGTTGTGAACCACATACGTTTTTACACAAACTTTGGTCGCTCCAGCTCTGAGAACAAGGTGTCAAACAAGATGGACGGACACATCTCTTAACTCTTTGAGTACCGGGTATAGAACCAGAAATAGTTTTACGGCAGCATTATTATTATTATTAAAACGCTACAGAGTGAGCTTACGTCACCAAATTTTTCTTCATTTTTGCAATAACCTTATTAGTTTTTTAATTAAATTTTTTATGCATTTTAGGAATTGCGTGGTGTTTAATTCCATTGAAAATCAATATTGGATCTGGAATATTTTTTTTTCATAGTTGGAATCTTTTTGTTGCGCTGTGTGCCGTTCCCAGGTAACTAAAAATTATGTTGATTAAATGACTGCACCTCTGGAAATTAATGTGCTTAACGCACAGAAAGGTAACATTTAGGTTCCCATAAAGTATGTATGTATATTCTTGATAAGCATCAAAAGCCGAGTTGATATAGACATGGCTCTCTGTGCGTCCGGCTGGATGAGCGCTTATATCACAGAAAAAAAATAAAGAGCTCCCAAAAGCAATTCTCTGTATCACAGCAGTCTTTATTGTTTAAAAAAATGGGTTCTATACAACAATTTTTGCACTTTGATTTTGAGATGTCTCCTATCTGAGAGAAGTGTCCTTACTCTCACAATTTTGTCGGATCTCAATAATTTTGTAAATTTTTCGAAAAAGAAGCAAAATTGAATGGCAACAAAAAAAACACGCATAATTTGTATTAAATTAAATTAGATTAAAACTTTAATTTCAAAAGAAAAAAGCTATCCTTATGCGAGGAAAATAGTAGGTTCCTCATCTAAAATAATTCGTATTGCTTTAAACATGTATCCAACAAGAAACTCGTTAAAGAATTGGCGCAATATCCACATTTCGGTTGAAAATACTGGTTCCTGAGAGCAAGAGGGGTTCTTTTAAGCCGGCCAAAGAGCTTAAGAAGGATCTTAAAAAATTTCCAAAGATAAACAAAGCTAGCTTAAAAGAATATAAATTAAGTTTTCGAAGTCTGAGAAAAAATCCAGTTTATTAAAGACACCATGGGGCAATGTAAATACAAAGTAGAAATAACACTGGAGTTGGCCCAAATATATATGGATATAGATCCTGTGATCCGGAGAAAGCCAAATTTTGTTTTTATTTGTTGCCAAAACTCTAGTATTTTTGTAAAAAACACTACTATAACCCGTTGACACATAACAATATCTAATAATCATGCTGAGACAAGAATCATGGTATGTCCATGGCTTTCGTATTATGGAGGTGGTAATGTACCCGTGCTGGAATCGAAGATAAATCAACATGGCTTTGTTATTATATTATACAACAATAATGCTGCCTTATATGCAATAATAGATGCCGTTGAGTTGTGTCTTTTCATCAGGGAAATTACCCAAAACAGACCAGATAGAGAGCTCTAAGAAGTTTTTAAACAGTGCCTTTTAAGTAATGTTTTCTCTTGCGTAGTCCCCAGATATGAGCTATGTTGAAAATATTTCATGAACAGTTAAAGAATATGTTTCTAATACGAAATCAAAGAAAAAACTTGATATTTGGGGGTCCTGTCAGGGTTTTTTAGATGAATCCCGCAGGAAAGACGCGAAAAATAGGTAACATTTTATGATAGGACTTTGAGCCTTTTTTTTGCTGCCAAAAGCTTTAAAACAAATTATTAACCTTCGAATAGAATTAAAGTAAACTATAGTAATGAAAAATTGTGCAAATATATATTGAATTTGAAGTTCTTTGAGCTTTTATGAAATTGGTTATATTCTTGTTGCCGCCCAAATACCGGAATAATTCCTTTTCCTTCCAAATATTTCCAACTAAAGCCATCAAAGCATACCATCTCTCTCGGATAAGTTGAACTAAGCCTCAAAGTCGATATAATAGTTTTAAAAACCATCATTAGAACCATTGTTTTAACAAAATATCTCAAAGAAAAATATTTGTTCATGGTGCTATTTTAAACGCCGCAGCTGTACATACCTCTAGTGAAAAACGAACCTCTTGTATCTTTCCCGCAGATATGTGTATACTCAATGTTGTTGATTGTTATCATCCACTGCTAATACAAGAGACGCCAATCCCACCATAAAGTAACCTATTGCTGCGATTAATTTTTTATGGAATGTGTTCTACAGTTATTATCTTCATAATTTCTAACATCTCTAAACTGAACGCTCAGAGAAATTTTGGAGGGGGTGCAAATAAATTTCTTCATTCTGGTTATTTCATTCTGGTTTATTAACTTATTTTTCACTTTTCTAACATTTTTAAAAAGTAAACAAATTAAAACGTTTGCATGAGCTGTGTAACCGTACACCTCTGTTCATTCTCAGACGCTGGAACATTGTCTATTTTGCCAGCAAGACTGTTTTCGGATCTAAGTACTAGAATAAAAAAAAGCGAATTTGACTCCGTTACCCGTCCCACAGTGCGGCCTCTGTGGAAAAGAGGTAGAAAAGACGAAATTATTTTGTATAGAATGTTCAAACGGTTTTAATACTTAACTTTTTTTAATCAGAAAATCAAAATTTAGGTTTATGAGATACTAGCAAGCCCCCGACGGCTTCGCTCGCTGATATTTTGGAAAGGAGATTTATATGTATCTTTCTAACTAATTTCCTAGGGACTATGCCCTTTGACGGTAGTCGACTGCAATCTTTTCTAACATAACATCAGTTATTTTAATATTTGGGATTCTAGTATAACCAATAGGACAACCAAGTTACTAGACGAGTTAAGACTGAGCCACGGGACATATCTACTCTTTTCAAAAAACTTTTATCCTCACAGACTAACTGATTTCTGTTGACAATAGCAAAGAGTTATTGGGCGTAAAATAAAAATGAAAAACATATTTTTTAAAAAAGGAAAAACAAACAAACAACAATTCTAAACCAGTCCTAGCTAGGTCTCGAACCCACGGCCTCAAGACTCCCTGGGTCACACTTTGATTTGATTGAGGCCGTAATTTTGCCGCTTTTGTCTAGTAGGAAAAACGTAAATATCATTATTTGACCTAATTCTGGTGTAAAGTTCGAGAAACGGTTTCTTTTCTGACGTCCTAGGCCCAACAACAACAATTTACAAAAAAGAATCAAGTCGTTCCAGCCAGTGGTTTTTTATGAAAGGACTTTACAAATATGTATTTATGTAGATTACTATGAACATACCATTTCTGAGGTATGTTATTGTTATTGATGTCTCTATCACTATTAAGAGTAAATTTGATTTGATATACATCTTTAAAAGCTTTCTTTATGCTTGTATTTTACTGATTCTTACACATCTAGCTTTTTATCGTATCATTTTTTATTTCAGTATTTTATTAGGTCTTTGGCTATTTGCGTTACCTGAAAGTCCCAAATTTCTTTTGGAGCATGGAGAGTCGGAAAAAGCCCTAGAAGTTCTAGCCCATATTTATGTAAAGAATACTGGACAAAGCCGCAGCAACTATCCCGTAAGAAATTTCGAAAATTATCTGTCCAATTTATCTAATTACCTCCTGAAGGCTTCACCTCAACCGCGGATATAGGGGTCAACAAGATATAGTTTTTTGTTTTACCAAGTAAGAAAAACTCAACATACAATGATTTTAGATATTTTTTCCAAATCATTACCATTACTTTCCGAGATTCAGTTGTGAATAAAAGCAATTGAACGAACAACCAACGTGGAAAAGAAAACGATTTTCTCTTCATATATTATTCGGTCTTATTTATCGAATCGTGTCTTTTAGACCCTGTCGACAAGTAGAAAAATCGAAATAAAATAAATTATTACGTTTTTTTACGATTAGTATTTAAGATTGAGAAGAGTTGTTTTGTGTTATTTAGAAAGGTTTTATTTCCGAGCGAGAATATGCTTTTTTCCGAACAAACTGTGAGCTCCGACTGATCTTATGTAACGGCTGTCACTAGGCGGTCTGTTTACTGATCCACCTCCTATCAGTCTCTAGCTCTTCTGTCTCCTTGCCCTCTTCCCTTGAGCCCCAGACTTGTTACCATCTTCACCTCATGCTTGCCTGCTTCTTCTGATGCCACCTTCAAGTCTTGCTTTTCCCTGTTTCCTGTTTCTGTCTCTGGTATTACCCTTAATCGATCTTCTCGAAATGGCTAAATCCGAACTATTACTTTATGCGATTCGTAAATGTAACTAAAGTAATTGTCGTATCCACTTGTACTTAAAGCCCATTCAACTTTTCCATATCTCAGAATATTTTACTTTAAGTCCAGTGTGAAGTAAGTAATGGATCATGAAATCCACTCCGATTACGATGTCGATGTGCGGTGTGCACTATCAATAGAGAGGTTACACATCTTTACGACTAGCTGACCGCTACTTCGAACGTTCTTCTCTGCACTAGAAGATTGTAGCACCTCAGCAGCAACAGCCTTTAAGGACAGCAACAATGCAGGTGCGCGATCAGCTAACGCCCCATTATTCCCCGATCTAAACTTGGGTAATGAAAACTATAAATGTTGTGGTATCATTACAGCTTGGAGTAACAAACTTCGGCTACTACCATGTTGTTGACAGGCGCACCTCTAGCCGATCTTCTTCCGGGATTTATCGTGATTTTTGACTCCCTACATAATTGACCCACCATGGTAGAAATGTGTTCAGAAAACTTTAGCCTGGGATCCTGTTTAACCCCAAGATCATCAACCAATGTAATTCTCTCAAGAGAACTGCTGCAGAGGTTGTAAAGAGCCAGTAAGGGGTTGGAGCGATGAAATGTCAATACTTTGCATTTGGAGTCATTTAGGTGTAACATATTTGCACAACACGATAGTGAAATGAAATGTCCTTACACTGGACTCAGAGCTTAACATCATCCGCATATATAAGTACTCGAGATTTTGTTAATACAGAAGGCACGTCATTAATAAAGAGTGTGAAAAGCAAGGGGCCCAAATGGCTACCCTGTGGTACTCCATAGGTAACAGGCAAAAAGAATGAGTTTTTGAAGAGTACTCTTTGGGAACTAGATCTAAGGTAGATAGAAATCCATCTAAAGAATTTTACAGAATCGAATGCCTTACTGAAATCCGTGAAAATAACATCCGTCTGCAAGTTACCTTGAAAGCCTTTAATGATAAAGGAGGTAAACTCTAAAAGATTAGTCGTTGTTGATAGGCGCCTTATAAATCAGTGTTAAGCCTTCGATATAAGTGATATGAAGAAATGTTGCAAGTGTGGAGTTAACCTTTTCTCAAACATTTAAGTAATAGCGAATAAGTTGGATATACCTCTACAGTTTCTTGCTTCAGACTTGCTACCTTTCTATCTTTATAAAAAAATCTTACAGATGGGGGGAAACCATGCCAAATAAATGGATAGAGTAAGTAGTTTAGGAAAGGGCCTACGCAGAGACTCGGCACAGTACCTGAGTATACAGCCGGGAACATGTAGCAGTGGGCTTTAATTTGACAACGCGCTGAAAATGACGTTCAACGTTAGTAAACTGTATGGATACATATGTCCAGAGTAGCTTTCCTGAGAATAAGTTGTTTGGAAAATTTTAAATCATTGTCTGATGATCATTGTTTGCCAACGTATTCTAGTCTTGGTTTTAGGTTCTTTAGACTGGTTAACTATTTGGTGAACCAAGCAGCCTTCCCAGATCTAATAGGAAAAGAGAGTGGCACACACGAATCAAAACCAATTTTGTGGCTTCAATTACGTCTGTGAAAGTACAGAGCGGATCAATCAGAATCAGCAGCGGACGTGTTCAAATATCCTCCCGCCCGATTCGATACGGTAGGTCCGATATCGAACAGTACCTGGCAGGTAGAAATCCCCAAGAACAGTTATATGGCCTTTATCAGATGGCGAGGAAGAAACAGATTTTAAGGTGGACAAGTGCTGCTCGTATATTAAGACATCCGAAGTCGGTGGAATATACGAGCAAGTGACATAAATATAATGGCCGGGAAGAATCAGTCTGACCCAGAGGAATTCCAGGTCTTGTGAAACCTGGACTGTGAAAAGCTCCGATGTGAAGTAAGAGTCCACTTCAATCAGAACACCTCCTCCACGTCGATACGAACGATCATTCCTTTAAATTGTGTATCGATCTGCCAAAAATTCGGAACTAAGACTATCCATAAAAAGTGTGCTGAGCTTACAACGTAAGCCGCGGCCTTTTGATAGGCTACTAAGAAGGAAGTCAGTTTTTTGACTGAGAGAAATTTCAGTTTGAAGATGCCTATTTTTATACCCGGTACTCGAAGAGTAAATAGGGTATATTGTATTTGTGGGGAAAAACGGTTGTTTGTAACGCACAGAAGGAAACGTTTCCGACCCCATATAGTATATATATTCTTGATCAGCATCAATAGCCGAGTCGATAGAGCCATGTCTGTCTGTCCGTCTGTCCGTCTTGTTTGTCGGCTAGTTCTCAGAGACTATAAGAGCTAGAGCTAGATTTTGGCTCCAGACTGCTGTATGCTCACACTGAAACCAGTGTATTTAAAAAATTAGCCCCGCCTCCTTCCGCTCCCGCAAAAGGGCGAAAACCTCCCAAACCTAAAATTTTGAAGATAAAAGAAAACTAAAAACGACATTCCGCAGGGAATGGCCATATCTATCAGATTACCAAATTGGGATCCGATTGGGCCATTATTATAGCCACAATGAAGAAATTAATTTCCAGTGGCTAAACCCACCCTATCTCTCATTCACACTCTGCTTCTGCTTCACTCGGCCTATGCCTCTGCCGCTGCCTCTGCCGTCTTTTAACCCACCCCGTCCCGCAGCTTATATTTGTTTTTTGTTTGCAGGCGCACGCAAGTGTGTAGATGTAGATCCTGTTGTAGATGTATATGACAGATAAAGAAGAAATGTTAAATTTGACAAAACACCGCTAAGATGCAGAAGTTGTACTGAGTGCCGGGTATAAAAGTTGTGACGCGTAAGAAGCGTCTCACAAGGGACGTCGTTCTTCTTAGCCTTATACTCTTTCACTCTTTACCTTACGGACGGTACTGTCGTTACTGTCTGCATGTTCTCAGAGACGATCGATTCGGTTGCCGAAACTGAATCACCTGCAGCTTTCATTGCCCATAGCAAACGATATTAGCTGCTGCACTATCGGAATGGACGGAGACGGCTAATCTGCAGCAATCGGTCGAGGGACAGGCACTTGCAGATCGCGCGGAGTGATCTTTTTGTGCCTAGGAGACTCATTCAGCAGTTAAAACCTGCTGAATTGAGATTCCATGGCTAGAAGCCGATCGTACTGCTTTTTAAAGACCAAGGCCAGCTCCTGAAATCCCTGCCTCATAAACGTGACCATGTCATTCTCGACCGACCAACATGTCTCATAACTGTAATGCAGACCATTACCTGGTGCACTACCTTGTCGCAGAGCCAGCACTGGGCTCACCTGGTCATGGGTGATCTGCTTCTTGCAGTTTTAGTTGAGCAGACAGCAACGTATTCCATATTAAAAAAATTAAAAATGAAAATTTTTATGAAAAAAATATGGTGCTTTGAAATGGGACAATTTTTTGTACGAATTTTAAAAATCTGGAATTTTTAAAAACCTTTTTTCGTAGGTCGGTACCTTTTATTTTGATCACATAACTTAAGTATCTGACATCTGGTTGTAAAGAACTTTGTTTATGTGAATGAGGCAGCCAAAGAGTAGACCCAAACACTTTGTGGTTTTAGCGTACCGTCCAAGAAATATTAAGCTTTGAAATGCAAAAAATTTTAATTTTTGTGCGTTATTTTTTACGAAATTTTAAATGTAAAAACTCGGGAGAAGTCGAAAACAACGAGAAGGGACGTGAGAGACGCTTCTCATGCGTCACAACTTTTATACCCGGTACTCGGTACTGCATCTGTAGCTTAGCGGTTTTTTGTCAAATTTTACATTTTTTATTCATCTGTCATCTATGTTCATCTAAAACACTTCTCACGCCAACAAGCTCCTTTAGCTAGCCCCCCTTTCCTAGAACCGCACACTGAAGAGTCACGGCAGAGGCAGAGACGCGGCAAAGGCAGAGGCCGCACACTGCAGAAGAAGAGTGTGAATGAGAGAATGTGAAAAAAACAGCAAAAGCTTCTGGACGGGGTGGGTTTAGCCACTGCAAATCAATTTCTTCATTTTGGCTGTAATCACCAAATTTGGTGATCTGATAGATATGGTTCCTACGGAATGGCGTTTTTAGTTTTCTTTTATCTTCAAAATTGTAGATTTGGGAGGTTTTCGCCCTTTTGCGGGGGAAATACACCGGTTTCAGTGTGAGCATACAGAAGTCTCGAGCCAAAATTTGGTGGCTCCAGCCACTAACCAAATAGTATAGTATACAATTTGGTTAGTGCTCTAGCTCTTATAGTCTCTGAGAACTAGCCGACAAACAAGACGGATAGACGGACAGACAGACATGGCTCTATCGACTCGGCTATTGATGCTGATCAAGAATATATATACTATATGGGGTCGGAAACGTTTCCTTCTGTGCGTTACAAACAACCGTTATTCCCCACAAATACAATATACCCTATTTACTACTTATAACTCTATGTTTATTCACACAGTGTATGCTGAATACTTTATTGGAAAATATTTGCAACGCCAAGTCAATTTCCGTTATCCATTATTTGTATACATATGTATTTAGATGTTCATAACCCTTTATCCCTTTCGTCCTAACTGCATTTAAGAAATATATATGCATAGAGAGGATACACAAGATCAACTTATTTATTTTTTGGGGCAAGCTGAAAGTCTTGTGAGCTCAGAAGCAACACAAAAGTGCCAACATCTCAAGCGCTAAAAATGAAAACGAATATGAAGTCAAGAATAGATACACGCATTGCCATCATGTATGTATGTACATGTGTCACCGAACACATGAAATTACGAAGCAGACTTGAAAAGGAAAAACAAAACTTTGTTTTTGCGAGACTTACTTTGAGTTCAATGCTCAAGAGAGACAACGCTAAACTCTCTCAGCGGAAGGCTGTCTCACCAAGAGCCGAAGGCACTGGGAGTCAATCCACTATACTGATTAGGCAGCCGGTTTTTCAGTAGTTTGAACCCTCTATGAGTTGTTTGCTTAGTGGTAATAGGCATGCACTTGCGGATTAGTATGGGAAAAATATGAAGTTAGTCGGGGAATATTTTAAGAGTTTTTTTTTTAATAAAACAGCAGTCGCTTATCCAAAATATAGAGGAAAATACGGAGCGCAAAACAAAAAAACGTCTGATCACTACGAAAGAGAACGAAAACTAGATTACTATTAAAAATATATATCGCCCCCGAAGTAGGCTTGTCTTATTTATTTATTTATTAAAATATTAATATTTTTAATGTAAAATATTTAATTGGATTCTTTTCAAATAGTGCACTACTCTGAGGGAGTCAATTCGTCCACTTCAGAGAGATGGAGAGGCGAATATTGATAATTACCGATTAGAAAATAATAGTTCTAGTGAACTCAAAAGATTATTTCTGGAAATTTGGTACCAAACGAAAACTCTATACAAGCATCCTTACTTGAAGAACTCCCTTATAACTTGTGCTATTCAATTCTGCCTAACTACGAGGTGAGTCTAACTTACATACATCCGACAAATATAATTATTAAAACTTTTTTGGTAATTAATGACAGCTATTATACATTGATGGTTTGGTTCCCAGAAATATTTCAAAGATACGATGATTTTGAGAAAACCCATCCTGGAACACCTGCATCAGTTTGTGATATTTCATCGATCGTTACTTCAAATACGTAAGCCAATGTATACGTTAAAAAAAGTGTTTCCCTATAGTCTGAATTGCTTTTGAATATGTCTACGCCTCTGTGCCGCCCCTCCACCATGATAACGGTTTTGCAAATGCTTCTAATGTATAATATAATGATTTTAAGCACAATTTTGGCCAAATAATAAATATATGTAAGTTGTATTAAAAAATCACAAAAATCAAACCAGTACCCGACAGCACACAACATTCGGAGGCCCCGGCGAGATAGTCGTGTATTTCTTTACCGTGGTTTCTCTAAAAAATAGATATTATTATACCCGGTACTCGAAGAGTAAATAGGGTATATTGTATTTGTGTACAAACTGAATGTATGTAACGCACAGAAGGAAACGTTTCCGACCCCATAAAGTATACATATTCCTGATCAGCATCAATAGCCGAGTCGATTGAGCCGTGTCTGTCTGTCCGTCCATCTGTCCGTCCGTCTCGTTGAGCGCCTGGATCTTAAAGACCATAAAAGCTAGAGCCACTTTTGCATCCAGACTTCTGTATGCTCACACTGTTACAAGTGTATTTCAAAAATTAGCCCCGCCCTCTTCCGCCCCCGCAAAAGGCCGAAAACCTCCCAAACCTACAATTTTGAAGATAAAAGAAAACTAAAAAGGACATTCCGTAGGGAATGACCATATCTACCAGATCACCAAATTGGGATCCGGTTGGATTAATATTATAGCCACAATGTATAATGAATGAAATGAATGAAATGAAATTGCAGTGGCTAAACCCGCAGCTTATATATGTTTTTTGCACATTCTCTCATTCACACTCTGCTTCACGCAGAGTGCGGCCTCTGCCTCTGCCTTGACCTCTAAAGCTGTGGCTCTAAGGAAGGAAGCGAGCTAAAAACTTAAAAATTTGACAAAACACCTCCAAGGTGCAGATGTAGTACTGAGTGCCGGGTATAAAAGTTGTGAGGCGTAAGAAGCGTCTCACACGTCTATTCTCGTTCTATAATAGTTTTATCATTATTCTGGAGCTCTTCTGACACAATTTATAGTGTTTGACACTTGTTGTATTCACTTTTTATAAGACATAACAAGTTGAATGGGACAGTCGTACGCAATGCGTGTAGTAAAAAGGTCAAATGTTTCCATTATAACTTATCTTTTTATTAGCCCTATACCTGGTTTTATTGACGATTTTCGGTAACTTTTCGATTTCGAGAGTTTTCAAAAGCCAAAGACAATTCAAACGTAGATTCCAGTGAACGTTGAGGCAGTTAATGTTGCGCATTAATGTATCTAACAAATTATCGATTAATAGGCTTTTTATTGTATCTGTGGGGAATAACGGATGTACATATCTAACGCACAGAAGAAAGTGTTTTCGACCCCACAAAGTATATATATTATTGGTCTGCATCAATAGCCGAGTCGATTGAGATGTCTGTCTGTCCGTCCGTCCGTCCGTCCGTCTGTCCGTCCGTAGGTCTTGTTGAGCGCCTGGATCTCAGAGACATAAAAGCTAGAGCCACCAGATGTTGCATCCATACTTCTGTATGCTTACACTGTTACATGTGTATTTTATAATTTCGCCCCCGCCCCCTTCCGCCCACACAAATCGCGAAAATCTGCTGTATTCACAATTTTGAAGATAAAAGAAAACTAAAACAGCCATTCGGGAGGGAATTGGGGTCAGGCTGGATCATTATTATAGCCAGAATGAAGAACTTAATTTGCAGTGGCAAACACACACAAAATTTAAAAAAAAGAAAAGAAAAACAGTGTAAAAGTAAAAGAAACAGTGCTCACAATCATAGACCTTGAAAATGGATTCTTCCACGTTCCTGTAGAAGAAAGCAGCAAGAGTATACGATGGAAAGCCTCGTTAAGTTCAACCGTAGGCTCGGTTTTTGCAATTCGGCCGCAGTTTTCATCCGTTTTATGAATTATGTATTTCAAAGCCTCATAAATGACAAAGTTCAAGACCTGTACATGGACGACGATGAAGTAGAAATAGTGCCAATTCCTGCAGTCCACCATTACATTTTTGGGCCATAAAGTTGGAGGAGGAGAAATCAAGCCGGGATTAGAAAATATCAAAGCTATCAGACAGTTATCACTGTCGCAAAATGTAACGGCTGTGCAGTCTTTTTTAGGATTAACTTGTTTGTTTCCGTAAATTTACATAAAAACTACTCGCTAATCGCAAAACCAACGATGATCAAATCAGTGACCCAAATTCTGAAAAGTCAACTTAAGGAACTCTAATAGATTTGTGGTTGTCGATCGTCGCATTATTAACCACTGCTGAGCTACACATTTAAGTGATTTAGATGTACCTATATAGTTATTTGCTTTAGAATTGCTTACTTTTTTATGTCAAATAATTATAAAATATTCCTTCCACGTGAGGGGGAAAGCATGAAGACATGATATATAGGGTGAAAGGTTTGGCAACGGGAACGCACATACCAAAGCAGAGTCACTACTTTTATACCAGATACTCAGTAAGAATGTGATGATTTTATGATTTTGCCGAATTTTGCATTAGAGTAAGAGTGTTCGAGCAAAAGAGAGAATGAGCTGGCATCAGCAGAGCTGGAGGATGTCCACCACAACTTAATTTCCTCATTCTAAGTATAATGATTTTCTGATCTTGGAACTGCGTTTTTGAGTTGCTTTCAGAGTCCTACATACGTTTCACTTACGCTTCAGTATACAAACACAATAAACAAAACCGGAGAGAACGACACAAACAAACGCAACTATTATCTCCATATGGTATGGAGGAGTTTGGAGAGATGTTTTATTCTACGACACGAGGTATCGGAGATCCCATGTACTTTATATATGTATAGATTTATGAATAGTAAAAAACTACATGTATAGCCCAATCCATATACTCTAAACGTTTTATTAACCAAAATAGTTAATATAAAAAGTTTACTCCCTATTTCCATGCCGTGGTCCATCGTCGAAAGTGCTTTCACGATGCCTTCTGCACCCGGTACTCGAAGAGTAAATAGGGTTTATTTTATTTGTGGTGGGAGAAAAGTGCGTATCGCACAGAAGAAAACGTTTCCGACCCTATAAAGTAAATATATTCATGATCAGCATCAATAGCCTGGATATCAGAGACAAAATAAACTACGGCAACCAAAATTGGCATAGAGAGTACTGTGATATCACACTGTTAAAAGTGTATTTCAAAATTTCTAACCCCGACTCCTTCCGACCCCAAAATAAGGGCGAAAATCAGATACATACATCCACAATTTTGAAAATATGAGAATATACAAAAGAACCCAGAATGGCCACATCTATCAGATCACCGAATTGTGATTAGGTTGGATCACGTATGTATGTACATACGTATGTATGTAAGTATCCCTCTAGGGGTACACATACATACATATAATGACTGAGTACCGGGTATAAAAGTTGAAGTACGAAACGTCTCACAAGCGTCCCAATTCGTTATTATTTTTGTTATTTTTTATTCTTGCTTCAATAAAACCCATCCCGGTATAGAAACAAAAAAATATATATATAAGCAAACTAAAATACTATTACTAGCTGAGTCAACTACTTTTGAGGTTCTCTCTTCGCACTCAATTTCACCTCCTCTTTACGAAGTACTTTTCTTAAAAATTATACACATCCTTTAGGCTACAAATTTTGTTTCTTCATTCTGCCTCGCCTTTCTTAATCTTTTCCCTTTTTTTGCGCTTTCGAGTGAAAAATTCAATTTCTTTAAACCCAGGTAGTTGTCGTTGTCCCCTTCAGCGCTGTTAAGGCGCACAGTTTTACAGAATATGTGTTTTGTCGTCAGGTATAACCACTAAGCAAACAACATATGTTGCAACCAAAGCTACAAGACACCTTTCAAATCCACATCAAAATATTTTCTCGTTGTACATGCAAAGTTAATTAAATAGCCATCCAAATCGCACCCTGACTTTTCATTTAGTGATTCCGCTCGCAGTCATCGGAATTCCTAGTGTGCCACCTATATATGTACATCGATACGGTTTTTCGAAGTTAGGGCAGTAATGCCCTAGATCGGAGTAAGTTATTTAATATAAAATGTAAGTGATATAATATAAAATGTAATGGACGCCTTTGAGCTCGTCTCACAACGTTCCCCCTTGATTTTAATTAAGTATTCTGGAGTAGAAGGCCGGACTGTTGCTGTAGGAGTAATCCACACATAAGTACCGCGAAACAAGTAGTCCAAATGGTGATTTTGAATGTCTATGTATTTATAGTGAAGTGGGAATATTCCCGTATCGAAAGGCACTGTCGAAAATTCGCGAATGCCAGGTGGCAGCGCTTTAAAAAGTCGTAAGTTGAGAAAAGCAGAAGAACCAAAAGAAAATATTAAATAAAATCAGGACAGAAGAACGAACTCAAAATTCTCAAAGAGAATCCAGCAAAAAAAATGTTCACAGTAAATTGCTTGGCCATAAACAGATCCGTATCATTTCCTATAGCTTTTAGGATCGACCCAACTCCTAAAAGCCACAGGGGAGTGGCTTCTGCTACTCCATTCTGCTAAGTGCAGAATGGTCGTAATCGAGGAAGATGCAAACTCCTCCTCGATTATATTGAACATCCTGAGAAAGGCGAAGCAAAAGCACCAAACATCAAGTGACAAAAGAGTTCAAACGCCAGCAGAGGCCACGAGCAGAGACCGCAAACTGAGGCAACGGCTTGCCTGTTGAGCCCAACGTTACTCCTTGTTGTTAGATACGATTCGAAATAAAGTGACATATTCTGATTGATTTTGAATCGACAAAATCCAACCTTTTTTTCTTCGACGAACCAAACCGACTTTTTCTGATAAGTTTCTTAATGAATAAAGTTTTCTTTTCCTAAGGCAGAACTTTTTTTTACAAATTTGTAAAGTCTGGAATTTTTTTTATGGGGTGCAGAGGTTATAGAGATCTTGGATCTGGTTATAAAGAACTTTGTTTGTCTGAAGAGCTAATTGATGCAGCTAAAAAGTGGTACCAAACACTTT